ATTATTAATAATTTGGATTTTCAAAAATAAAACCATTTTTAATAAAATGTAAAATATTAGTTGATACTTGATAATAAAATTTGTGACAATAATTGCTCAGGGGATAATACAATATTATATATTTAATGGAAGCTCATTCAACTCAATAAAAAAATTAATCAGGGTTTCTTTGGTCCACATAAATCTAGCACCCCCATAAATTTAGCCCAAATTGCGCCTATGGTGAGCACCTCCTTAAAATGAGAATTTTGGAAAACCTTACTTAGTGCATCTTTATAATATAGTGATCGGAGATACCTTGAACATTTCAAAAGGTCAAGACGTCAAGTGTTTAGCTATCATCGTTATTAGGCTCTACGTTGATTAGTCTTTCAGTCAGGACATGTCCGATTATACATAATTTGCCACTGTGGGTTGGCAGTATTATTAAGGGGTGAGTGATCAAAAACATAGAAGTCACTTCTGCTACATGAGTTTACGCTCACCTATATACAGAATATAAATATTGTCTAAATATTACTGCATAAAGATGTTAAGTGGCAAAAACGATAGAGCGCATAAGACACGATAATATGACAAAATTTTATTTGTTGACTCATAAATGTATTTTTTGTCACACCTGCACCGAAAGTTAAATTTTCGTTTTTTCGATGTCTGTTGAAACTTTGGTAAGCTACTTTTTTCCGGCCAGTGGGTGGTAAAGTGAGAATCCCATAGTGCTAGCCGCCAGGTCGTAAAATGGAAAACCTCAAAAGTTTTGGGCATATTCGTTGCACAACCAGACACCGAAAGATATACCACAGTAATTACAAAAATAAGCTTTTCATTATATATTAGGCTAAAATGCACTTTACCACCCAATGCAAATTTTTCAATTTTTTTTTTTTGGAACTTTTTTATATGAATGATCAGAATTTGTCAGTCATCGGACTTAGTTTTGAAGTTATGGAATTTGAAAATGATCAATTTTTGCGATTTTTACTCGTGAGCCCAACACTACGTTTATCACGTCTTTCACGTATTTTTTCTTTCTTTTCTTGAAACTTACGTTCATCAATGAGTATTGTTTATTTTTAAGTCTAGGTTGTTGTGGTTACCTAACCGCGTTGGTTACGCATGGCAACGCAAGTTATCCGAGAGGTCCGTAGAACCCCGGATATTGCGACCGGAGCCGGTAGGCGAAGAAAGCCACTATACATATACCTACTTATGTTACTTTAACTGACAATCAAGTCTGATGGCCGTCATATACAATAATATTCCCGGGAATTTGAACATCACTAGACTGTCCGGCTAACAAATACTGATTACATCACCATTATTTATTTTTTAACTCGTTGAAGTACATAAGTATAAAACATAAGTATAAAAAAAAAAAATCAATATTCGTAATACTCAGTAAACTAGAGTGATGTGTGAATGTGTAAAAAAACCGAAATTGATAACATCCAAAGGTCATACCTAACTTTAAAACAAAGTCCTACCGACAAATTCTGATTGCACCATTGTACTTAAATATTTGATATATGTAAGTTCCAAAAAAGAACAATTTGCATTGATTGGTAAAGTTCCATATCTTATATTCATATTTTAACCTCCTTGCGACCTTGCATGACGCGTAAACATTTTTCTTTCATCCTTCGCCGTGATCGAATAATCGATGAACACAGGCGAGTGACAAAAAATAGTGTGAATGGCTCGTGCAGGAAGGTAATTTTAGTCTTGGGCGAAGGAGGTACTCAGATTTCTAATTTGGAGAAATTGAATTTGATTCCAATCAGATTTAGAATCCACAAAATGTATTTTGTAGTTTGTTCGCCGACTGCCGAGATAATATGTGGTTGTAAACAAAACATCATTATTAAACTCTTCCACTCAGAATAAAAAAGTGTTGGGAGATGGGACAATAAATCATCACCTTGATAAATGAAGTATCCGCTACCAGGGTAAGGTTTCGGGTAGGTATTTTATTAAAAAAAAAATTAATATTCAATTAAAACTAAAATTTTTTGTATTAAATACATTCGTAACAATTTTCTACATACAAACTACTTACTACTGACTACTGACTACTGACTGAGTGACTTTGGGCCACCGGATATGCCTCTATTTTGGAAAGTGTAAGTTCTGATTCAGAATTTACTTGGACAACACACAGTCACTGAGTCACTTACAATGTTTTATCTAAAATAACATGTACCTATGCTATTAATAATAATAAAAAAAAACATACATTAGTGAGGTAATTATTCGAATAGTTAGGTAGGTACCTAGGTACCTACCTACTGGCTACTACAAGGTTGATGCTACTGCTACATAACCATTAACCACATAAGAATTATAAAATAGGTGTTAGGTAGGTAAGAATGCACAGTCATCACTCACCATCATGACATACCTATTGACTGATGAATTACATCATAAGGGTGTGTTTTACAGGCTACTACAGATAGTAAATTACAAATATTTTTTTACAACGGTATCTACCTACCTATATAATAGTATAGTGAGAATAATATTTTGGTGAAATAAATGATTATTAGGTATGTAGATATTTATTGATATACTTCAAGCCAATGAAGCAAATGTGCTGAGACAACAGAATTATAATTTGACAGTAGTAACAGTTAATAATAACAGTTAAATTTAAATAATGGAAGTTATATAAGAACATATAATAAAACAAAAGACGAATGAAGACACGCCATCACGTATTATATATTTATGGGTCCCGTACTTGACCGCGAAGCACACACGACACACCACTATTTCTCTCACCACTTTCATATACTGCAGCTACAATATTATGTTGTTTCAGCTCATTGGCTTCATGGGCCTATACTACTTATTATTTTGACTAACAAGTGACTACTAAGTACTAATATGTTATCAATTCCTACCATATGTAATATACTTCCGTATACCTACTATAGCATACTACAACTTATTTCCATGTATGCTTATATTTTCTTCTGTATCTTTCTAGTGATTCTACTCTCTGCATAAGCTGAACAAATAGCACGGAACTTGCTTAAATTTAAAACACGTTCAATCAAATCACGCCACTTCTATAGAAAATACAATTTAATGAACCAATATGTTAAATGTATCCTATATAGCCAATGGCGCACATAAGGGGGTGCTTAGCACTCTCAAGTCCTTAATTAGTACCCCCAGATTATTTTGAGTTAAAAATATTGTTTAAAGTGTAATTTTTAGTCTATAAGAAATAAGAATGAGTTTATTCCAGTTAGTATTGACAATGCACTAATGCCACTGGCATATATTTCTTGTTTATGTATGTTAAGTATATTTAAATTAAATACAACAAATAAAAAAACAAAATTAATGAAAGTACCTAGTGAAAATATGGATGACCTGATTGCATCCCTTGTTCATCGAAAACTAACTGTAATAGTCGTTGTAATAATTGTTTATAATTATAATATGTCGTCCAAAAAAAGATTCTTTATTGAAAATGAAGTTCACTACTTCGAATTACCTATAATGTAATAATTTATAATTGAATTTAAAATGAAGTTAATTTATGCCTGGTATGAATAACCTTATAGCTGTATGGGGGGCGAGGGAGCGAAGCACCCCCAAGGGTCACTTTGGGGTAAAACATTTGAACACTCCCAAGTTTAAGACTGAATGTGCGCCTATTTGCGGCTATAAGTATTCTTACTGTCACTATATGACCTGTATAAATTGGAAATATTGTATTCTTACTTTACACGGATTATAGTCATTTTCAGTTATTTTCAATAATGTTTCCAAAATAATTGGTTGTAAAATCACTGAATTCAATTCACAGTCTCCAAATACATGACGTATCAAAGTTAATATGGCGTCATTGACTAATTCATCATTTTTAGTGTAATTTTGTAGAACAGTTCCATACTTATACATTATGTCGGCAGTAGCAAATCTAGTATAGTTAGATAATATTAGATATAATTACATAACTTCTATACTGATAACTGACTATACTGAATGATCAATTTAATACAACAATTTAATGTAATAAATAGGTGATCATTATTTCAAAAACTATTAAAGTTATCGAAAAAATATGTACATAATTTTAAGACCTTAAAAAACTTTAATAAATATTTTTATTAATTTTTAATGTTATAATTTGTTTACTTTTTGTAACGAAAACGGGCATTTTTATTTCCTTTTTCTTAAGCAGACTATTTTTTGGAGTACTTCGATTACTAAAAATTGAATTTTAGACGTGTAGTTATGAGTTAAATCTTATAAGTTTTTAAAGTATATATATATTACCTATATAGATGGAGTGGAGTGATATAGGTATCCCGCAAAATATTGGTCCACTACTACTATTGATCTTTGGGTTATATAAAGTTAAATACCTCTGATAAGTTATAACTTATAAACTAATTCCCCGAAGTTTGATTTATAGGTTGAAATACTCCGAATAATATTCTAATTCTGAATATGAAATTAAAATGCATTTTTTATTTAAAATATTAAGAACTTAGTAGAAGTAAGACTTTTATTATACTGTTAGTATTTTCTGAAATAATGAGTGTCTTATGTTAAGCGAATCTCCAATACAGTAATTATTATGATTCTAGATTCATATAATATTTAATGTATGAGGTTACCTTTTGAAATGTTCAGTAGTATCATTTGAAGTCCAATAATCTAAATTATCTAACAATAATATCAACTTGTGATTTGTAATTATTAAATCTAGCAAGTATTCAAATGTCTGTAAGTCACTATTATAGAAATGAATTAGCATTGAGAATAATGACTTGATATCTTCTTTCCAAGTTGTAGATTCTGGTGAGTTATTACCTGAATACAAATAATAATTTTTAAGAAATTGACAAATTTACACAACATAATATTATAATAAGCAAATAAAATACATTCATTACTATAGTGCAGGTATCGAACACTACAGTATAAACCATCGGAGTAAATAATAATACGAACTGCGAAATGTAATAATGGAAAAACAATTACCCTACGGTTTCAAACTCTAAACCTTAGTTTAGTATAGTTATTTTTATTCTTACTATTTTATAATCATAATATTTTTATCATCCATCTGCCGATGTTTACCTATGTAACTAAGTAAGCAACTTCGGTACATGAATGTGTAGTAGCTGTTTCAAATTTAGTCTAGTCTCGATAACTCGAATCTCAAGAGGAATAAAAACAAATTCGACCAATGTATTTTTCGAGTTCTATACCTCAACAGCTAATACATAATTTAAAACATTCCAAGGTGCAAGATAAAAATTCCAGTTATTGAGACTCGACTATATATTATAAATTTATAAACCTAAAATATTTTATGGTGAATGTGCGCCGCCAGCTAATTCTGTCACATCAATGGTGTGTATCAAATTTGACATGGAGGCAAATTGATTAAATTAAATTGTACAATGTACATGTTATCATTCACTAGTGGTCAGTGGATAGCAAATTATTACAAATTTTAATATTGCATTATTAATAATTACTATAGAAGGTAAAATATGTTGGTAGTATCAATATTCTATTGACTATTTTTTGGTTTTGGTAAATGATGACCCCGGGGTCACTTTGACAACCCATTGTTTGATCAAAATCAAACGAAATCGTGTTCTCAAAAAGGTAAAAAGTACGGAATCATCCTTTATCGCTATAGAAAATGGTAATATACCAACATATTTCAAGTATCTTTATAGTTATTCATTTTTTAAAACAAATAATCAAAACTAGGGTATCCGGCAAAAATTCTTAAGAAGTATACCTATCAAAAACTAGTCACCAGGTTTAATACTAAAAATAGTTATTGTTACAAAAATAAAATAATATTGAAGTATTATGATTTGTAATATTTATATATTCAACTTACATTCAAGATCTTGTAATAGATCTATGTTGGTTAATGGCGTAACAGATATTTTTCGATATAATTCGATAGTCTCAACTACTTCTTTAATGGCCATGACTACCTTTCAGATGCACGAAAATAAATTTTAAAATAAAATAAATTAAAGATACGTAAAAATATATGCTAATACGTACTAAATACAATTGTCGGACATATATTTGAACATCATCAGATTTTTGCTGTTCTGCCATCGATAGTTGTTTTGCAATTTTATAACCTTCGTAAGCCATATTTTTAATCATTTTTATTGAAACAATCCCTCTATAATAAAATATTTGTACAATTAATATTTTAATGTTCTAAAATATTTATCAAGTATTCAAGTATATACATTAATCTACCTGATCATTTTCAATTCAATTCTGTTCAACTTGCAAAATCTACAAAGATATATTAAAAGCCAGAAAAAATGTGACAAATCAATGTTGTGCTGTGTATTAGATATTAGTATACTATAAACTTCATCAACTAATGTACTGAATCCATTTTGTAGAAAATGAATAGCGAATTTTCGAAGTTGAAGAAAGACTATGTTTCTATCCATACTTTCCTCATCGCGAGTTGGTAATGTTTTTAACCTTAACATTTAATTTTATAAGTTAAATTATATAAGTCCTAAAATAAAATTTAAAAATATATTTTAAATTGTATATTACTCACATATTTTTTGGCAATTTTTTTGTGTATTTTTTTTTTCGTAATGTGTCTGTATTTTTGTTGACAGCGTCAACTATAGTGGCATTATGACGAGTTCCATCATCGGATTTAAGTTTATGTGGTATTTCTCTAGGTTGTATTTCAGAAGTATTTACTTCTCTTTCTGTGTTACTGGAGTCACTGAAATAGTTGAGTTTTTATAACAAATAACAATCAAACATACATTTGTTTTTACTTTATTAAAAGCTTATAACTACACTGAACCTTAGGCCATAGGTCGTCTAAGTAAATTCGTATTACTTTAACCACCTGTTTATTATTTTCAATGTAAATCAAATCAAACTGTCCTATGTTTGTGGTCTTACATTTTTTTTTTCAATAACCATTTTTATTCTTTACTATTAATGATTGCTATTTTCGTCACAAGTGCACCACCTTATTAGTATTCATTTTGAAGTTTCATTTATACATTATATTGATACTTAAAATATCTCTTACTTTAGTTGGAAAATTCCTTATTTTTTATGGTACAACCCCTTTTGTAATCTTTATGCTTAGATATTTTCATGTTAGTTTTTACCCTTATTTACCGCTGTATATCTACAGCTTGGTCCTGGTACATACATTTTAAATTGTATCAATTTAATAAATCTTAGTTAATTTTACCTTTGTAAATTACATATCGATTCTCTGAACAAAAATTGTCTTTCAACTTCATCTTTTACAGCATGTATTCTTAAATTATATCCTAGATCGTCTAAAATAATGTGTCCTTGTTGTTTCATGTAATTGAATTCACGAAGATTATCCTTGAATGAAACATGAAAGTGAATATTTTTAGAAAAATATTAAAACCAGTACAGATAATAAATATACCTAGAATGAAAATTGTACCTATTTTGCTGTTGTACCGTACATGCTGAGATACTGAAATATGGTTTAAGTTGTATGTTTTATTAAATCTTATTTTGAAGGCGTTATCAATTGATGTTATTTTCAAGGCTGGGCAAGTTAATGATATTTTTTAACTCAGTTAAGTTAAGTTAAATTAAAATCTAAATCAAGTTAATAGTTAAAAGTTAATTCAAAATGTTCTATCAATTAAACTAAGTTAAGAGTTAACCAAAATGTAATATTAACTTTTTAACTCAAGTTAAGTTAAAAAAGTTTTTTTGTTTTCATATAGGAAAAATTAAAATATTCGTACCCAAAATTGTTCATGTTATTACACCAAAGAACTATTATTATTTTATGTGTTCAAAAAGCTAACAGTACTATACAGAAAATGTAGACTGATACCAGATTGTACAAACTCGAAAATGGTCGCGTTAGTTTAACCTAACCGCGTCTTTATATTTTAGTCGAAGTCGAAGTATAGGCGAGTACAATACTGAGTAGCGTATTTATTTTTATACTCATATAGTGATTACTGAATACTGAATACTTATTAGTAGTTATTACTAATACACGATAATTAGCGGTAGGCCTGTATGGGTTGTTAGATTATCAATGAGACAAGAACACGAACCGCGATTAAGATATTTTTCATTTTTTCATGGTGAGTCGTGACACAGACTAATTTTAATATTATAATAAAACCTGGAAATTACAGTATTAGTAGTTGTAACAGATATGTAATAATATGTATCGATATCGAATATGGAAACACTAATTATTACTGATTTTTTCACACCTTTTTACTTTCTTTTATTTTGAAGGCGTTATCAATTGATGTTATTCTTATTTTTATATAACGAATATTTTTTAAGCCGTTCACATTATATTTATTTTCTTACATAATTATTATAGATATCCGTATTTAATTCAAAATAATATAAGGTGCAAATAATTTTTCATCAAAAACGGAATAAAAATATAAATTATGTATAGGCTCTAGCTACCGTACAGTAAGTGTCAAGTGTATCTTTATTAAGTAAGTTCATTAATTTCTGTAATGTATGTGGAATTGAACTCAATGACAAATCGTTGCATTATTGTAAAAACACTAAAATCAAAAGTTTTGCGAAAAAAAACTGTCAGTCTATATTACTAAATATATTTTATGATATATTTGTATCATTATTAAAATAATTTATTTTTATTTTTTGATATCTTAGTTTCGCCGAAAACATTACATTTTAACATACTTTGTATTCAATATTCAAACCTTAGCTAGGCACGTATACGGACTTAATACTACAAAATACTACGCTTGTGTAAACAAAAGTCGATATTATGTATTTTTGATATTTTTAGTTTTTAAATCAAAAACTTATGTGGAACCTTGTATAACATTTTCAAGCTTCTTGACACAGTATAATATTTTTATTGAAAAAAACTTAAAGAAACTGATCATTCTGAATTTCTTAAAATAACTCAAAAGTAATTGAGTCAATATTTTGAATATTTGATCACGTATAGAAAATTCTAATACAACTTTTAGTAAAAATGTCAAGTATCTAATAATATTTGTTTTTGATTTACATCAAAAAACAACATTTTACGGAATAATGGTTGTGCTTAAAATTTTTTTTATTCATTCTTTTTTTTTGGTTTTCCGATTATTTTGTAAAGTTCTAGGGTCCAAGGACCAACTATATACAATGTGGTACCAAAAACCAACGCCAAATTTGAAAATCGAAACATTTTTACTGCCCCAAAATATGATAAAAAATAGAAGAAAAAACATTTAATTGTAAAATCAATACATTAACGCTCCGCTCAGAATCCAAAAATGATAATTTGTAGTGAGTAAAAACGCGATATACTTATATTTTAACGAGAATCGTCCATATCGTTCATAAAATGATAATGGTTTATGATTTATGGCCAGTGTTGTGGAGGCACATTAAAGTATTCAGTACATATACTATCTTAAAACTGGAAATACAAGTTATTACTGGATAATATGATGCCATATTGTTTTTACTATAATTGATAATAATTGTATTCATCTTTGCAGCAACTTCGTCATTTTGGAAAACCAGAGCAATTAATTCAATGACTTGTGCTGCCCATTTTCTTCTCAACGAATTATGAATCAAAACCATAAGTGTCTATAAATATTCAAAAATAAACAAGTTAAAATAGTTAATATTTGTATACATTTCAAATACCTTGTAGATAATATTACAAAGTTAATGAGAGATTTCACATAATTTAAATTGCTTGTAATATTGTACTCGCACGGTATCCCAACACTCGGTTAGGTACAAATGAACATTTAATCAACAATTATGTACAAATGAAATAACAATCATTGGTACCATTTTGGAGTCCATAAGTCGATTGCACAAAAAGTGGGGTGCTGGTGTAACGTTACGTTAGTACCGCTGAGGAAATACATTTTTTTGGGTGGTTGGGGTGGAGGGGGTGTACAAATGTTTATATTAGCAAAATACTAGATTTTCACAACAGTTTTTTACTTAACCAGTATTAAAATAAACTTCTAATATATTATCATCATTTTAAACAACTGCATTAACAATTACCTCTCCAAATTGTTCACAAAAAAGAATCAATAACATTCTCCTTTGGCACTGGTCGTCATCTACGATAAGAATATTTCTTATTAAAAGTAAACAATCACTTATAATTGGTACAGCATAAATACTGAAACAGCCGAGGGGTTTGGACAACTGAAAAAAACACAGCATAATAATAAATATTTTTTTTTTAAAATGTATTAAGGCTTTAACAACAAAGGTTTTTAGACTACATTAAATGAATGTAAACAAATAAACATTAAATCTTAATAAATATTGTAAATAAAGAAAATGAGAAACTAGGTGAATAAAAGGTTTTTAATGTATGTTTCAGTATCGAGTGAGTCAAAATACAACGAAAAATAGGTCAAATGGTAATCATACCGTTTGCTGTACCTATACCTATGTTCATTGCTCGACTATAGTGAGTGCCGGCATATGGCATAATATGTCACAGGTATGTTCTTTTATACTCAGACACTAATGAGTAGTAAGAACATATTGAGAAAATAGAGACAATTGAATTTAAAAGGAACCATTGTACTCGTATATTAATATAATATTATGAAAAACGATTCCTCTTTAAGGATATTTTGTTATTATATTGCTATGTGCAAAATGTTACTGTGTAAATTTTTGTACTGATACAGCCGTACAGAATAATAATATACGTGATGGCGAAAAATATTTAGCCCCTATGAATAATGTTTTTTTTTAATCACAACAAAATAACAAAAACCGTTTGGGGAAAAACCGTGCAATGCAATCGAACTTGTTTTAATCATAAGGAATATTTTGACTTTTCGCTAATTTTTTTATTATTTCAGTTAAAAAACTTATGAAAAACCACTATCAAAGTTGATACTTGGAGCAGTTTTACAGTTTAACATCAGCTCCAAAATGCGAAGACTCATAACAAAAATTCATCACATTCATTGTATTACCGATGCATTCGTAGCTCCACTTAGAATCTAAAAATAATTATTATGATGGATATATTTACTTCTTCAATATATTTTTTTATAATCTGTATAATACGTTTAATGGATCTTGAGTCAGTCCACCAGATTTTACTTTTCAGTAACAACTGTTTTAATTTAATTACATTTGAATGCTCAAATCTATTGACATGCTGTTTGGTATCCAGTATTATACATTCTATTGGAGTTATAAGATTAGTTAAAACTCTGCAAAAATTGATTTAAGACATATTGAAAAATAATTATAATACATATAATAGAAAATTACATACTTAATTAGCACGGATAATATTTTGCTGTCATTAACTGCGACTAACATTGGTATTAGGTCCTAAATATAAATTTATAGAAGTTAATATTGAAACATTTGTAATGTTATAGGTTACTAGGTTCTATACTTATAATCTATTATTTTTGGTAACCCTTAAACTTATCATTCATGATAGGTTGAAAACCATTGGGATATTATATCGACTAGGGACCGGCCGAATACAGTGTCTTATGCGGGAGCGTTTTGAGTGAGTTTTACTGTATTTGTATACCTCTTTACTGGCTTTGCATAATTTTTTTTTGTTTTTTTTTTTGTTACGCGTCGATATACCTTAGCGTTTCATATCATTTATTTATTAATTTTTCTATTTTTTAGTATTTAAAAAAAAATATTTTGTGCTAATGTGTTTCATTTCAAAAAATGTTCAATGTAATTCGAAAATATTATAATTGATCGACGACTAAAATAAGAATGATAACAAAAACAATATTATCTATGGCAAATAGATTTATTTTGTTATGATATTATTTATACCACGAACTTAGCCGTAAGAATATGAGTGTGTGGCGGTTCTCTCTAGATAATAGCTACGGATTTAGATCTAAAGCTGTGGTAATAGCCAAAACTCAAAAGTGCATAGATTGCCAGTCTGGGCAATAATGCAATATTAAAAATGTTGGCCTAGACACTTCTTGGTAAATAACTACTCGGCTTGTAGCACAGAACAATAATATATTAATTATGCTTTTAGACTGTAGTCCAGCGAGAAAACTCGCCGTTTTTACGCATGTTATTATTATTTACTCAGAGGTCTGGGAGGCTCCCTCGAAGATACCCTAACCTTCGCTCGTAGGTTGTTTTGAGACTTTATAATATTAGCTACTCGTTATATTGTGATAATAAGAAAGCTCATAAATAATATAATTGACAATATATATTAAATAAATGATACAATAATATCCTATAGTTTTTGTCCCCACTTACCCCCCCCCCCTAATGATTGTTGAAATGATGCCCCTGTGGTAGGTATCTATACTATAATATTATTTTTCATTATAACACTGATAACTTAAAAAAATTTATTTTTTTTTTATCTATAATCTACATTCTTAATTCTCGCCATAGTGTTGGTTTAATCATATTTGTATTATTTATATTTTTTTACATAAATTAGTATTCAATTTTATAAAATTCTACATTTCTAATATTTTCTATACCCAAAATAGTATTTTGTATTTTTGTTAATGACGTTAACAATATTTTTTTTATAATCATTATATTAATAATAATGTACACACTTTTTTTAGTACTTCTGAAGATCCAATAAGCTGCCTAAAATTGATGGAACTTTCTCCTGTTTTAATTAATTGCTTATATATATGCCAAAGTATTACTGAAAAAAAACATTACAAATTATAATTATGTAGGTTGTTTTATGTACATGAAAAAGGATACAAACAAGTGGTTGAAATTGTTATTTATTATGATTTAAATAATATACAAACTCATTGTACCAGTTCATAGCAGGAACAGTTTTTTTGAAGGGGGGAGGGGTAAAATTAAATCAAATGTTTGTATCAATACATCTAGTTCAGGTTTGCATGTTATAATGAATTTATATACAATTTTAAATTAAATATTTTTACAGTATAGAGTCTAGCAGTCTTTTTTTTTCGCAACGATCAATATCTGGATTGATTTAAATTTGTTATGTATCTACACTTAAAAGAGCTAGACCTTTAAGGCGTTCCTGGCCAAGTAAGTTTCTTAAACATTTTTTTAATCTTATCATGGTAGAAAATGTGCGTTCTGATATCGAAGTCGAAACTAGCAATAAAGCTAAGAATTTCAAAAGACAATATATAATATTTGGAAAAAATGCAGTTACATTTAGTATTATTATACTTCATTTGAATTTAAATTAAACCGAATCTAGCTAAGTTCGGACGCTATTTTTCAAGTTTGTCAGTCTATTTTTTCCTCTTCCTCAATTTAATTTCTGTTGGCAGTATACTTCGAAATCCGGAAATTCTGTATCTATTTTTTTAAGTCATCAGGCACTTATTGATGTTTTATAAGCATCTAGGTACTAAATCACTAAAAACTTATTCCATTCTTCTAATAAGTAAAAAACACATTTTTTTTTGTATATACAGTTTTTAATATTCCATGTTATTATTATTGATCAAATGCTTATATTACTACGTAATTCGAAAGAAAATAATTATAATTCAATATTATATTAAACTTACTGTAACAATTATCAGAAGGTAAATAATCGTTAGCAATGCATATTCGTAATTGATTAAGTAAGTTTTCTGTATTATGATGCTTCAATGAATCCTCCATTTCGATTATTTTCTTCGGTAAGACAGATGATAGTTATTCTAAGAAACAACATTATGATATATCAGAATAGCATTTTTTAGAAATATGAATTTAAATTCATAATAGTTTGACAAATTTTTAGAGCATCTTATCTATACTTAAGATTCGGAAAGTTATTTAAAATGTTTGGTATTATAATGATACCTACTATAAGCTACTCTGCCCAAGCATATGGTAGGTTTATTATACTTATCTTATGTACACAACTTAAATGAATAATATAACAAAGTTAACACATAATGATAGATATCTATAGAAATCCATTATATTACATTTTAGTATTTTACTGAGAAAAGGTTCGTTGGTCTTTTGGTCGCCGGGGGGAGGGAGTTGGGGGGAGATCGTATACCCCTTGTTAAGCATTAATGGAGGACACTACCAATGCATTTGTTGTCTCCGCCTTACGGCTTACACACGTATGAAATAGCAATTTTTTCGTTCACTAGTTTCAATAGTGTGTTATTCGTTTTCATATTAGACTGAATTGACCTACTATCAAACTTTTAGATAAGAACATTAAATGTGCTTAGGCGAATTTTCGATATTTTTAATTTTGAGCAAAATACACGGGTATGTGAAATATCACCAATTAGAAATGCTCATATCTCAGTTGAAAATTGAAATCGAATGAAAGCCGGCGCTTAAGCACAAATTTTGTTCTTACCTACAAGTTTGATGAATAAGTCCATTCGATCTAATATTTAAACTAACAGCACACTATTGAAATAAGGAAACGAACATTTGATATGTTTTAAAGTAAATTGCTTTCAAATAACATTGAAAATATTTTATAAAAATATATAGATGTGGACGCATAAAAATAATAACATAAAATATACCTATACAGAGTATATATGCGTATAAGTTATATAACTTATAAAGCTTATTGAAAACAATCAATATAATATAGGTACCATAATATGATGCACAATAGCCATGTGATTTTGATTTTGTTTTTTTTTCAGTTAGCCTTAGTTAACCTAAGGGTTGATGTACATGTTATACAATATACCTATAAGTTATTACCGTTATAGGTATTATATTATACTATAGTATTGTAGTTTAATTATAATTGTGTTAACTTTTCAACTTTTGAGTCAATATCTCCTTACTGTATAGAATTTGTAGAAGCGAGCGCATCAGCAATATTTTATCGACAAATTAAATGAATGTATTGGGCTGTATGGTGTACGTGTAACCTGGGTAACTCTAAATGAACTGGGACGCACTCGGACTATTCCAAAAATATGATTTTTTTTTTTAAGAACGCACTCGGGATATTAAATAATTAATAAGGGTAATTTTAGGACGTGTTCGGAAAACTACTCTGTAGCACGGTGTGAATAAATATAAATAAGCATTAGTTTAAAATGAATCTAAATATTTTGAAAATGTATTTAATTTATCCTCTAACTAATTTTGAGTAAAAATGTCATCACTGTTCCTTCATTTATTTATTTGTCTTTCTCGATTATTTTGAAAAGTACATTTTTATTTTTTAAGGCCATTTTTACTTTAAATCCATCTATAGTGCCAACTAGATCTAATTCGCTATCAGAAATCGTCTTCAAAGACCAAAGTTGAAAATCTAAGTACTTTTTCTGCTCCAAATGATGATGACAGACACAAAAACACACACATCATTGAAAATTGAACGTATTTTACCGTAAAATCCGTAAAATATATTTTATGTTGTACAGTAGTATCTACAATTGTTTTAAAATCGGCTTGGTTTTTAGAATGTGATAACTTTATTTTTGGCGATTATTGGGGTGTGAATAATAAAAAATTGAAAACAATATAATATTTATATGTTTATTGTTGAAAGAGATACATTTAATCAGTAGGTAGCTAGGTAAAGAAAACAATAGGTACTACAATAGATATTTTTATTTTAAATTAAAAAATGTACTGACGTTTAACAGTAAACCGTCGGCATTATATAATATTGTACCTTTTTACTGAAGTCACAATATTATTAAAACATAAACACAATTAAAATAGCTTCATCCTCAATATATAGGTATAGATATCGGTATTCAGTTTTAAATTTAAATTTTAATCATAATGTTAATGTTAATGAACAATATTGAACATACATGGATATAATTAATATTTATTTATAAAACCGTTTGTATTATTGAACCCTTCCCTTTCATAATATTTGTTATTACAACATGACTACAATATTGAAATGGCTTCACTGTTTAAATATAGATGCTTTTACATTAATATTTAATTCAATCGTTTAATTGAACAGTGAACACCGTAGTCACCTTACATTACCTATGTGGCTGTATTGTGTGAACTGTGAAGCCATTTCAACTGTAGTCACGTTGCGATAAGAAATATTAGGAAAAGTGTGGTCCCGAAGTGGGGCTCTGAGGGGTGTCCTACGCCCCAAGCATACAATATGTACATGTCAGTTGGCACATTGATACATTAAGTATTTGAGTTGGCACTCGGCAAATTATGATTTATTTTTTAAAGTTTTTAAATAGTTTTGTAAATTCTCAAAGTGCAAATATGGCATAGTAATATATTGTAATTTATAATAATATGAAGACATATAAGTTAATTTTCCGATTGCCAACTGTCCAACACAAATACTATAATAATATTTAAGTACCTAGCAATGTGCATATTATATAATATTATAACAGTATGTCAGTATAAAAGTTTTCCTATACATTCCTATAATCATTGAATTATTTTTAATAATACTGCTACGCTAACTGATGAGAAACTATTTCTAGTGAAACTTACCGAAACATCTATACATTACACAATATAACATGACAAAAAGTTCTAATACAATATATCAGAAACCTTATAGTAAATTTTCAAGCTTTTGACCCGACAAATACAATTTAAATAAAAAAAATCTAAACAAATTGAGGGCTGAAAATGCCAGTAAAAATCTCAAAGCGATAGGATAAAATTCAGTCTTATACTTGGGAATGCTAAAATGTTTTACCCCAAAGTCACCCACGGGGAGCTTGGCCGTTCGTCTCCTATACGGCTATATGTTGTACACACCATACATAAATTAATTTCATTTTAAATAATATAATTAATTACTACGTTGAAAAAAATAGTTTTTTTTATAGAAGGCATACAAAAATTACTACAGTGATAGACAGCACAAAAAACCTAATAAAAATAAAATAATTTTTAAGTGCAATTCAAACAAAAATGCCCACTTGTCCAACTTTTTATGGGTTATTTATCGGACTCAATGACATTATTTTTGGATACGATGGTCAAAAAAGCATAAATAATTTTGTTAATTTTAGCATCTAAGATTTGAACTTTTGATACAAATTTCCTCATGTTGTTACTAGAAATTAGAAAAAAAAATTCAACATAAAATCAAAATAATTTTTATAAATAATTCAAATAAAAGTTCAAATTTTTACGATATTGCTTATTCAAATTTCAAATGTATAGGTGCATAACGTTGATTTTTATCCTCGACCGATTTTGTTATTATTCGTGATCAAAAATTTTATTATAGAGACTATGACTATAATACCTATCTACTTAAAATATCTTATAATGTTGTATATACAATGAAATTTTCAAAATATGTTAAGACTATTTATAAGTTATATAGTACCTATAGAGGTTGTTCACTGTTCACTGTGTTCAACGATGGTGGTAACATGAAATATTTCGAACGCATGACACTGAATTTCATTTGAGGTTTTTTATAGTATAAAAGACTTAGGGCTCAAAAAAATGTCCACGTATGCTCAAAAAAACAAATTGTTTTTGTGTCGTACACCCATCCCCTTTTAAATTTGGATTTTGATTAATTAATTTTTTTTAAGCATCTTTGACTTGTAAAGTTATTTTTTATCTTAAAAATTAACTTCCTCATTTATAGTCATACAATTTTCAATATTATCTTATGAAATAAATAAAATAGTAATTACCAATGAACTCCTTGCTCTTGGATAAATGTAATTAATATCGGTACCTATTAAATTATTGAAATATGTGTGTAATCGTCGAACTGTGAAGAATGACTACTTCCCATTGAATAACACTGAATTAATAGGTTCAACCATGTTCGCCTATCTAAAATTAGACTTCATACATCGTATCCATACTTACTCTGCAGTTGACTTATTACACCTAAAACACGTTTTTGTCCAATGTGATTGTTGGTATAATTTTCACTCGAAAACGTGACGTTACATAATGATTTAAGACAAGTGCGTGCACGCGCGGGTGTCGGGTGCACATACATCACACGAAGTGTCGACCTGAGATCTAAAGGGCCTAAAAGCCAAGAGGCCTCTCAAGAGTACTCGTTTACCATTTTTTTTCCAGATTTTGTGTAGTAAGAAAGAAAATAGTTAAATATAAACAATAATTACAAGCTTTGAATCCCAAAAGCTGTCAAGAATTTATTCAATGAAAAAAAAAAATAATAATTACAGTATGCGTATATTTAAGTATGATAAATTTAAACGAATATTATACAGCAACAAAATTGATTGTTTGTTTGTTTGGGGTAATTTCTGGAACTACTTGACCGATTTTCAAAACTTTTTTACTATCAGAAAGCTACACTAACCCAAGAATCTAAGTGGCCCTTCATTTTAGATATTCTGACAATGACATATGTTTTTTTTTTGTTTGTTTTTTAACATATGGGGTGATAAATATGTTCCGATTTTTGCAATCAGCATTTTTTCGGAGAAAAGGGAAGTTGGGTTTTTTAACAGGTCAAAATGTAAAATTCCCAGTATTCTTTAAACCAATATAAAAAATAAAAACCTTTTTAATTTGCACACAAAACTAATCGATTTTATTTTTTAGTGCAACTCAAAAACTAACAATAGTAGACACTTGACAATTTCACGTAATGTTTATATTCTCAATTTCTATATATAGTAATATTTTTGAAATGTTTATACTTATTTGAGCTATTTATTGCAAATTTTGAAATT